GAGCAAGGCCACTTGCATGAGAGAAGTCTTGAAACCCAGGAGTCTGTATTGTATTAAGATGCTGAGAACAAAGAGGAGAGCTCAGCCTTCAGAGAAGACTCTGTCGAGGCCACACAGGAGCTGAAAGAATCTTGCTCTTTACATCTCCAAGCATAGCTTGTCTCTCTCCAGTGCCACATTTTCTGTAACATTATCAAGCACTCCATTCTCTATTGTGGGAGACCAACCTTGCACTTGACTGAGTCATACTCCCCAGCTGGGTGCTGAGGCGCTCAGTCGCAGAAATGTGGCAGAGCTTTCCCCACCCTTCTTGGGTCCGAGGGTGGGTGTCTCGTGCATGGGTGTGTCTTGCTACAGCCCCATGGGTGGAACTATACTCATCTGTTCCTTTGTAATATAACCCTTGCCCTGTTTAGGATAGAATCTTCCATGGAAGTGCCTTATGTGTATCCCCTTCTCTTACTGTGCCCTTGGCTGTGGCCTATCCAGGTTTGAGTCAACCTGCTGACAGACAGTCGACATCAGGAAGATAGACTCAGACCCCTGAAACCTGACCCCTTGCCTCATTTGAATCACTTCTCCTTAATAAAAGGGGTCAGAGTGTGCTCTCTCGCTCTCGCTCTCTCTCTCTCTCTCTCTCTCTCTCTCTCTCTCTCTTCCTGCAGACCCTTAAGGTCAGAGGAGCCATCAAAGCGACCTCAATGAAAAAGGTATTTGTATCTCTTGTGTAGTTATTTTGCACAATCCAGTCATCCCAGTTTCCCTGGAGTTACCCCTGAGCATTTTAGTCATGAACTGAAACCCGGCACTCTATCTTCTGAGGGGGACTCATGCCTTTTCTCTCATGGTCTCTTCAAGCCATAATCATACTGATTTGTTGATGTTCTGATCAATAAACAACTTTGTGTCCTGGATTCCAATCTTCACCCAGTGTGTGCTGTGCTCTCAGTATGGGCCCCATGCAGTTTGCCAGTGTTCTGCACAGGATTTTGGCCCTGGTATCCATCTGAGATGAGCCTGTGATTGCAAAGTTGAATGCACTTTTCACCAGATTTTGATGTCGGTATTATACCATCTATATAAAATGAGTCAGGGGGCACATATCCCCTTTCTATTCTCTAGAAAGATGATCATGAACAGAGTAGTTTATTTCAAATATATATGGTATAATTAACCCATGATAAATGAATTTAGCTCTTTTGAGAGATTTTTTTAATTAGACTCCATTGCTTTAAAAAGCTATAGGATTGTTTGAGTTCTCTACTTTTCCTTGTGTAAATTCTGATGTAGTTTTCCAGGAATTGGCTAATTTGTCAATTTTTTCAAATTTCCTAGCATTAAATCATAAAATGTCACAAATACCTTGACAAGAACACACACAGTGAGCCTGTGTTTGGTGCCCATGGCAACAAGTGCTCACACGGGGCAGAGGACCAAGCCATCACATGGTAGCTCGGGGCACCTGCCCCCCCAGGTGCACTCTGACACAGGGCACTACACCAGTTCCCATAGCTCTCAGGGGTCAGCAGTGAAGCTAGACACAGGAATCGCCAGAGAAATGCTCAGAACTCTCTGCCTGGCCAGTCAGGTTGCTGTGGCAGTGACACAGCTCCAACAAAACCCACAGGTGTGCCATAAGCTTCACACTCGTTCCACTTCCAAGTTCACAAATTAAACTCCTAAGAGGCACATTGATGCACAGTGCTCTAATCAAAGAAAGAGAAAAACAAAATTTGCTCTAAAAAGATGACTCCAAACCTCAAAGGTTTGCCTAAGGAGCGAGTTGACCAACTGTGGACCTGCATGATTCCATGGTGGGCACACAGAACGTTGAATCCACATTCCAGGAGGGAAGCAGGCCAGACACACAGACACGATAACCTGTGGGTCAACCCTGAGATAACTCCTAGTATGACCGGAGCTTGGGTTTCCCCTCATCAGGGTAAAAGACACTAAAATCAGAAGCTGGATGTGGGTCTCTGGAGCTGCCAGAACCTCCAG